GCAGGAGCTTACACAAAGATCTCTCCAGACAACAGAGTGGGTGGTGGTGGTGAAATACCATCTCTGCCTGCTTGCAGCAGTTTTTGACCAGGTTTATAAGCAATAAGCTTTTAAAGGTAAGAGAAAATCAGCATGCTCACTGCCAGTGCAAAGCAGGCTTGTCCAAAAAGGCTTCCCAGATGCTTTAGGGGCTGGATCCCTAGCACGTAAGAAACTGCTGGGAGCACTCACATGACTGCCAAAGACCTCAGGCCACTGCAGGCAGGTGACAGGGTGGCCAGGAAAGCATTACTCACTGATATTCTCCACTGATGGAAAAAAGCTGTTGCTGAAGAAGCCTGAAGACCCCCACACTGGATTTCTCTGGCCCATGGGATAAACCATGAATGGAAGATCCAGTGCTGACAGGAACCAGAACACTCTGTCTCCTGCCTGCTCTTCTGAGGCTCTGTTTGGTCATGGCTTTACAGCTGGCAACTCGGACTTTGGCTTATGGGCAATTCCATCCTGCTGCCAAACCACCTCCCAACAGTGTAGCACATTGGGGGGTTATTTATCACTGAGCTTTTGACAAAATTTTTTGGCAGACAGGGCGGAGTCCTCCAGCAGCAGGACAACCCCATCCAAATGACCTGAGGCAGGTACCCAGAAAGCCATAAGGTAGGGCAGAGCCTACATCTGAGTCTGCTGAGCTGCCAAAAGTCCACCACCTTCCTGCATACTAAGAAGTCCTGAACAGGATAAACAGCAGCTCCTCAAATCACCTGCCTAAGCAGAACTCAACAATGCTCATCATTCCTCCAGGGCTGCAGCTTTGCTGTAAGATGGGAGCATTTTAGCACACTGCCTGGGAAGAGGTTGGCAAACCACATTTTCAGAAACAGATTAAATCTCTGACACGTGAGGACATCAGGAAGGATCCAAGCACTGCTGCTTTCCTGGCTAGATCAGGAAACACCACCACTGCTCTCTCTCCCCTCTGTGGTGACTTCTGGAATAGTTTGCATCTGCTCACAGCTGCCAGAAGAGCCACAGCTGCTCACAGCAGTGAGACCAGTGCCAGCTCTACTGCTGGCATGACTGAGACCTTGAAGATAAGCAGAGATGAGCAGAAATCCAAGAGCAAACAAAGATCTCTGCAGCACCATTAGGCATCACTAAATACCTTTCACCACACACAAAATTCCTTCTGTAGCACAGTAAGCTTCAGACTCCCTGAGTTGGTCCTGCAGGGTGCAACACCACTGGGTTTCCATCTTCCCTCTCCCTCCTGCACATCTTCCTGCTCCAGCGGTGCGTGGCGGCCAGTGCTCTGCTACCCCAGATCCCATCGCTCCCCTTTTGCCCGAGTGAGACCCTGAAGTGATGTGCTCAGGACCTGCTGGCCCAGCAGGCCTGAAGAGGAAAGAAAGGGATGAAGTGGAAATTCAGTCCCCAGGGAAGCGAGAAAAGGCAGGGGGTCACCAGCACACCAGCACCCACGGGCCACCCAATGAGCCCAAGAGCTCATTGTATCCTTAATGAGATCAGGTCTGCAGGGAGGAAGGCAAGAGATCTGTGGTACTCACAGCACACCCTGAGGCAAACACATCCTGCCTCGGCTGGAAGAAGGAGCCGGTCCTCCTTCAGTGCCAGCTCATCAAGGGCAGCAAGGCTGCTTTACTGCAGATGCTTTCAAGAGGAAGAAGCTGCTGAACGTGAAAGCCACACGGCTATGGACCCAGGCAAATCAGGTGGAGTCAAAAGGAGAAAGCATGGAGGTACTTCGGTCCCTTTCCTGTGGAGGGACCAGCCTGAAATCTGTCCTGAGCAATGCATGAGGCTGTGCTGTGGGGGAAAGGAGAACTCCCAAGAAGGTCTGCTCCCTGTCTGGAGTCTGTTTTTTCACTTTGCACCCTCTCTAGGGTTTACTTCTGAAGATTTAAGTTTTATCACTACACTTGAGGAACAACAAGGTGTGTGTGGAAAGGTCGGGTGTGCTTCCCTGGCTTGGAGACATTTCTCACATCAAGCTCTTAAGCACTGGCTATTCAGAACCTAGTAAGGCCTGCCAGGTTGCTGAGCCAGCCTCTTGCTCCCACATCTAATCCATCAAAGTCCTCTCTGGAAACTCATTCTTCAAGCTCTCCTTGTGCTTCCGATGAGTCTCAGTCCTCTCCTCAGCAAGAACTTTCTGTCAATTCTCAGTGTGAAGGTGCTCGGGGCCAGTTTGTCCCAAGCTGTTCTTGCACAAGTATCACACCGCATTTCAGAGTTTTTCCCACCCTGGCATCTCTCTTCTCTGCTGCATTTGTTCTTCCTGAACTTCTAGCTTTTAGATTAACAAACCTGTTTCTCTTGCCTCCAATGGGATTTGTGTCAGCCTTCCTACAGCAGAAGTCTTGAAGTCAGTCCATTTCAAGCTTGAGGTCAGGCAAGTAAGTGACACCTTATGGCACCCAAATGTAAGCAGGGAGAACAGGCTGCAGGAACCCCATGGATGCACTGTGCTAGTGCCACACAGCTCCAGGCAGGTTCAAGACTGACATGTACCTGTGTCTCCATCCAATCCAAGCATTCTCTCACTCCTTATTTCACCTCTTCTCCCTGCCCCAGTTTGCTCTGTGGCAGCAGGAGGTACAAGTTCTGCTCTGTGGGTACAGGCTCTGTGGGGTGCAGCCCTGCAGAGACACAGCATTTGCTCTGTGGAGCTCACAGACCACATGAAGAGGAGAAACTCTACTGTACAGTGGGTGAAGACAAGGGTAAAAAGCTCTCAGATGGTATTTCTGGGTCTGTTAATTGCTGCTTTCCATTCTCAGTTTGATCTGGACATCTGATACAGCAAGGTCTCAGGAAAAGCCTGACCAGAGCCAAGTTCTGGGGTCACCACAAAACCACACTGACCAGTTCTGTTCATTTATGACTGGTGGGGGAAATGATGTGGCCTCAAGCCCACAGGTTACATTAGGAGGTTGTGGCCTCCCCATCCCTGGAAGTGTTCAAAGCCAGTTTGGACGGGGCTTGGAGCAACCCGGTCTAGTGGAAGGTGTCCCTGCCCATGGCAGGAGGGTTGGAATGAGAGGACATTGAAGGTTCCTTCCAACTCAAACCATTCTGTGACTGGAGCTCCAGATCTTTCTGCAATGTAGTAAAGGCAGAGGGAAGACTAAAAACCTCAGGCACAGGACTGAGCATGTGAGTGGGAGATTCTGTGCTCTCCCACTGCAGAACTCCAACATTCCTTGCACTTCTGTAAGCACCAGGAAATTGGCCTCTGCTTCAAAGGAGCTGCCTCAAAGCATCCAGACCACCAGAGGTGTGCACAAACACAAATAAACAGGAACCCAGAGCAGATCTCAACAGCACATCCCAGGTGAGGTGCTCTCATGTTTACAGCACAAGTGATTTTGCACGAAGTCTTAGGCAAAGAGAACAAGATGGATTTTGCCAGTTTAGCAAAGGTCCTACAAGGTGCAAGAAGCCAAGAGCTTGAATACAAGTGGCAAAGTTCCCCAAAGGCTGGAAATCTGCTAGGATGCTGGCACAGTGAGGAGTCTGATAGCATCCATCTCTCAGTGTCTAAAAGAGGAGGAATTTTCTCCAAAGTTTTCCAGGTTGAAAACAGGGAAAATACAGCAGTTCTTTTAACTTAGGAAGACTTTATCCTGGAGGGACCTTGTCGTGTTACTAAAAGGACAGCCACAGGGTGGTGAGAAAGCACTACTAAGAGCAGTTTTTCAGAGGACCACAGGATTTCTGTGCTGTTCAGAATCTCAATCCTATTCTGGAGCAGGGCCCAAAGGAGAAACTCAAAATGTAATGCTCTGTCTCATGTTTTAAGGAACATCCATACTTTACGATCCAACTGAGCTGCTTGTTTCAAGTCTGCTTCAAACACTCAAGCAGGAGCCACCCCTATTTTTGGAACTGACTCAAAGGCAACACAGACTGGAAGAACTCCACTGGGAAAGCCAGTGTCATACTTAAACAAATCTGACACACCTCAAAAAGTAGGAGCTCCCACATTAAAGCTAAGGCAGAGCTAGAGTGAGAATTGCCTTGTCCTCTCTAACCCTGAGCCCTTCTCCAGGAAGGAGGGCTGAATACAGTCTGAGTTTAGCAAAGTCTGTCATTCCCTCTCCTCTCTCCCACCATTTCATAAGAACAGGATCCCAGGCAGCAAGTGCCTGGGATCCCATCCTTTTGATGATCCATGTATTCCTCTTCAGAGCTCTTTACTATGGTAGGAAAGACTTGCACAGCCTAAAGAAAAAGCAAATGTGCCCCAACAAAGCCCTGAGAGCAGCACTTACCTGGGCTCCTCTGGAGTAGGATCTGAAAATGGTGCAAAATCTTCCTTGCCCTGAGGTGTCCCTGCAACCAAGAACAGTTACAGCTATAAAATGTGAAGAACTGAATCCCAAACTGCACATCTCCTACTGAACCTAAAACCAGAAAGTCAAATCAGTCTCTATCTTGTCAGACCATCAGAACATGCAGAGTCTCCAAAGTGCTCTGCATGGTGGTTTCAGTAGGAAGAATTGGTGGGTACATCCCCATCCTTGGTTACAAGTCAGACACAGTCCAGAGGTTGTCGCTGTCATTGTGCTTCCAAGGTACAAACCCAGATCACTGAGCTTCAGGACCACCTGATGATGTATGAGGGTGCAAGTCATTTCACTCCCTTGGGCAAAGGATTTTCTGCCTAGTTCCCTTCAGACCCTGCAAGTTCAAAGTCAGAGTGAGACTACAGAGCTCTCCCTGGCATGCAGAGCAGCCAACCTATTGCAAGAGGAATGTAACCACTCAAGGGAGGAGGAATTGTCTTGTACTGTCTAGCTCCACTTATTTTTCAAACATGTTTTAACCAAAAATAAACGAAGTTCTCTCTATACCCAGATCCCTGACAGCCCTGGTCGATCACACCCTACAGAAAGCTCAGCAACAGGAGTGGGGAATGGTGTTTCTAGCCCACTGGGACAATAAGGGGTTCTTCAGTCACTATGACTTATCCTGATGTGGTGTAACTAATTTTGACAACACTCCCAGCACCTCTCAGTGCCCTGGAAACATCTGGGACAGCAAGCCAGAGCCCAGCACACAGATTTAACCAGTGTACACTGCAATGTGTCAGGGAAATCAGAGACATTGACAATTATGATGTTTGTCAGATCTAGTCCCTGGGCCAGGATAAAAGACACATTAATGACCCCTGAAAGGGCTGATGAATCCCTCAGCCCCAGCTTTGCAGCAGCTCTAAGGAAAAGGCATTGACCTCACATGCTTTCAAGGGTCCTGGCCATCAATCTAACAGCTTGTGCTTGCACTGCCTTCTCCTTCAGCAATCAAAGACTGTGTAAGAAATGGTAAAAGATTACACTAAGGCATCATAATGGCACTTTTCAGGTCCTGTGCTGTTCTCCAGCTCAAGAATTACAGTATGAAAGGAGGAAGATTTCAAGAGGGAAGCAGTGAGTTACTACACACTTGGGGCTGAAATGTTAAAACAGGCATCTGACAAGAGAGAGACAAGAATGCAAGTGGCACATACACAGAGTAGAAGAGAAATTAGCTGCTTCTGTTCTTTTGTAAGAAAAATGAGGACATTCAGCTTCAGAGAGCAGGGGTGTAATTAAACCACCAACTGCAAGCTGCTGGAGTCACTCACTGAGGCTGAGATCACTCCTATTTAACAGTTCATATGGGTTACTAATATTCCTGGTACTACTCAAGCATTGGCAAGGGGCTACTTAACCCCATGGTGTAGGGACTGTATCATACCGTACCAGAACCATGTGAAACCCAGAACAGGGGCAGCCTATTCTATCCTATCTTATCCTATCCTGCCTCATTCATTGCCAGGATTGCTGTGTCAGCTTCTCTCAGCAGGTTAAACCTCAGACAAAGCTCAGCCAGAAGGACTCCAGATCTCCCTCCAGTGCTGACAGGTAAGGCAGGGGTTACCCCCCCCATGCAGTGTTCTCCCATCTCCATCCCAGTGTCTGGTCACTCCAGTCAGTCCTGTTCTCCAGGGCTTCATGATACTCTGACGCTACGGTGAGGTCTGTTCACTGCTCTTGCTTTAACTTTCTACTCAAGTCATTGAGAAATAAACAGCTGCCATGAGGACTAAGGGCTTCACCTATTTTTTTTTCTCTTCTTTTCCTATTCTCTTGCCTATATTTCTCATCTTAAGATTTCAGGAAAATCCAGTATTGCTTCCAAATTAGTGCTGCTCCCTCAATGATAAGAGAGCTGCACAGGAACACAGAATGGTGTGGGTTGAAAGGGACCTCAAAGCTCATCCAGTTCCCCCTCCCTGCCCTGGGCAGGGATACCTCCCACCAGCCCAGGTTGCTCCAAGGACCATTCAACCCTGCCTTGGACACTCCCAGGGATGGAGCAGCCACAGCTGCTCTGGGCAAGCTGTGCCAGAGCCTCACCACCCTCACAGGGAGGAATTCCTTCTTAACATCTAACTTAAATCTCTCCTCTTTTAGTTTAAAACCGTTCCCTTTGTCCTATCACTCTCTGCCCATATAAAAAGTCACTCTCCCCCTATTTTATAAGCTCTCTTCAAGTACTGGAAGGGGCTCTAAGATCTCCCCAGAGGCTTCTCTTTTCCAGGCTGAACACCCCCAGCTCTTCCAGCCCGACTCCATGGTAGAGGTGCTCCAGCCCCTGGAGCATCTCTGCGGCCTCCTCTGGACTCACTCCAGCAGCTCCACACCTGTCTTGTGCTGAGGACTCTGGAGCTGGACACAGCACTGCAGGTGGGGTCTCACGGGGGCAGAGTAGAGGAGAAGATGGTCAGGTATGATGGAAAAAGACTGAAACCAGTCTGTTCCAGCCAAGAGCAGCATGCTGTTCGTGCTGCTCGGTCAATGGAAAGAGGTCTGGCTTGCCAGAGTAACAAGAACAGTCAGCAAGCCTCACGGCACACCTGAGGATGCTCCACGGCCTGGTACAGCATCCGACGAGCAGCACCAAGGGCCTGCTCACCCCCCTGTGCTCACAGCCAGCACAACTCACAAACACTCACCAGAGTTCCAGCTTGACCCTTCTGCCATCCAACAAGATAGTAGTGGTCTTGTAGTCAATTCCTGAAAGAAAAGCAATAAAAAGCTGAGCAAACATTGAGAGTGTCTTCAGAGACACACAAGAATTCTGCTCTGCCCACCCAGATCTATCATCTCATGTTTACAGAAAGGGATGTTTTCTCTCCCTTGCTCCGCTGCCCGTTCGTGAGGGCTATAGAGACTTGATAGAAACAGACTTCTGCTTCAAGGCAAAGACTGCTCTGGTGGAGCTCTATTCCTCCCCCCTAAAATGCAGTTAAGCCCTAGATTGCTCCTGACTTCTCCATTGTTGGATTAAACCTGCCAAGACTCAAACTGTAGGAGAGGCTGGACAGGGCTTGGAGCAACCTGGGCTAGTGCAAGGTGTCCCTACCCAAGGCATGGGGGTGGAATGAGATGAGCTTTAAGGTTCTTCCAACCCAAATCATTCTGGGATTCTGAGAGATTCAGTGCTCTGTAGCAATACCCCATGTGACAGTCTTAAATTTTTGGGGGATGAGACAAAGACACAGTTCAGAAGCATCTCTGCTGTCAGCCTGCAGTCCCAGCACCTCTCAGACATCACAGGACATTTTGGGAGGTGGGGT